GGGGGGGGGGGGGGGGGGGGGGTTGGTCCTGAACCATTGACACACATGATGTTTTGTGTACTGTCCTTTGACTTAAAAGACTGAAAAGTGTGTTATTAAAGCTGTTTTGTATATCTACTGTTCCTGTTTTGTTTTCATCAAGTTAAACTCACTATATCCTGAGCCCCACTAGCATAGGGGAGAAAGGGTGGGTTTTCAAAAAATCATTACTTTCTTATTTATGCCTGTAATTGGCTAAAATTTTAATATATACTATGTTAGAATTGAGATGTAGGCTTCAAATAAACCATCAAGAAGTGCACGTCTATCATGATTTCGTGTGTATGGAGGTAGGACTATTTAACCCCCCCAAAAAAGAAATAAAGCCACTCACAAATGACTGCATTCAAAATTTATAGAAAATCTATTTCTTGCACTGAGGTATTTTTTCTTGTACGGCATGGAAATGGAACAGATAAGCTAAAAAATGGAATCAACATTCATCCTATAATTGCTATAGGAGAGTCTTGGAGGAAAAGTATTTTGAAGTTGAAACCACACATGTGCGATAAAAGGAGTCATCTGTAGAATTGTTATTGGGGCTATTTTCTTATTCTGTTTCTTGTGAAATGTTGCTAGAAAGCCGAATTTGTGCAAACAAAAAGAATTCTAATCGTCGACCAGCTATTTAGATATACTAAGCCCAAAATTTGGGGGGAAAAATTGTTGTAGCTGTTTTTTAACTTGTGATATTGGTTGCAAGTGCTCGAGAAATATTTTGTCAAAATTCAGATTCTAAATGTTGAAAAGAGCAAAAAAAGAAGTACACATTGTTGGTACAATTATGAAAAAGGATGAAAGTTTGTCTTATTTCCTCTCCTTAAAGAATTTGCTTTCTGTTTTCAATACATCTAAGCAGCTTGTTGATGGAATACTCTCCTCTATTTCAGGTTTCCTAGCTTATTTCCTTCCATTAAAGAGGACTACGTAGCATTGAAGATAGTGGAAGCTGTCCTGACAAACAGAAACAAAGTTCTCCTCCCCAAGCTTATGTATGCTGTGGCTTTCTTTTACAGGTATGTTGTGTATTCTTGGTTTTAACGTTAGGCCGCCACCTGAGCAAAATTTAGAAATTCCCTACCATAAAGAATATATACCTATCACATCTGGAAATAGTAAGATACACCCTTACACCTTCCTTCATTCCAAACATATTGATTGTATGTCTCTCCTGTGGAGCATATCAAGGAAGTCGAAATCTGAAGGGAGAGAAGATGTACTCAGACAATTTACTTCCTCTACCTCTACCACCCTAGCAAAGCTGCATCATGCATCATCGATATCAATGGGCAGCCAGAGGAGAAGTGTATTAGGTCACCAGGAACGTGTAATTTAAAATGTGATACCTCTTTGACTGTAATGTGCATTGAGCATTTTTTAGAAAATTGAAATGGGCAGTGTTAATGCTATATTTTATTATTATAATGTTTATATAAACATTCTTTTTTTTTTTGTCGCCAGTATTGCTCCTGTGGCTGCTGTGACGAGCATCATGAAGTTGCTGGGGGTTAACAAAGCAATGGAACAGTACCACGACCACCATCGGAAACTACATGGTCACAGTTAAGCAATGCATAAGTAATGTCATAAGTATGTTCCTCTCTTGGTTCCCTGCCTTTAATTTTTTACACAACACTCTAGTGGTGAGCAACAAATGGGAATGTCCTGTGCTGTGGGGGGTTGACGTGGATTCACACTCATGCATACACATACAAGCACACACATGCTAACACACACACACACACACACATACTCACGCACACACACAAACACACACACACTCAATCACTGCCATGTATTATTATGGGCATGTCTGCTATGTATGATTACTACAAATTTAATATGGTGCATGTGAGAGTATATATGTGTGTCTAATATTATATGAATATAAACACATTTCCATGTCTGTGTGCTAAATTAGAAGAATGTGTGGTTTCTTTTGTGTGACGGTTCACCTACTGCTCTCACATGCATCAAAATTCTTCACTAGGCCTCATGAGGCCCACAAGATCTAGTTTGCCCCACACCTTTGCAATATTGTTTCCTTCCTCTGCTGAAAATGTAATACCCCTCAGGTTCCCTTTAATTTCTTATGAAACATTGTAATCTTCATAACACCCAAAGGGGTGTCGGTCTGTAAGAAGTGTATAATTGTGCTTTGTCTGCTGGAAGTCTGTTGTTGTTTTTTAACCATAGCCTTTTGAAAACATCTGCCTAGCCAGACAATTCAATTCCTCGCATTGCTTGCTACATTATACTTGATGTAATATGACCCATAGGAGCAAGAGGTATAGGTTACGTTTATGTTGCCAGTTTACCAAATTCCTTCGAGCACAAGGCTCATAGATGTAGTGTTACCCGCTGTTTCTTCAACATGCTTAATGCCTTTTTGTCTCTGATAAGAAGGGACGGATGAAGAACTCAATAGAGATTTGGAGGAGAACAAGTTCATCAATGTTATCACTATGTAGTCTATACAAATATGTATATTTCATAACCAAAAAATTTTTTTTGCTAGGGTTGGCATTTCTCTTTCATTGGCAGAAAACAATATTGATTTTGGAATTTTCAAAGAACCTGTCACTGACTGCTGATGAGAGAAATAAATATACGCTCGGTCCTCAGTTATTTTTATTTTTAACTCTTTTGTATTTTGACATTTTATTTGATGTAGAATAACAGGAAAGAAAATGGAAGCAAATGGTTTGTATAGTAATATTAGTACAATGTAATAGTAATGATTTTCAATGCTGCTGGAATCAAAATTTTACTTGTTCAGTTCCTGGTTGATGATGTGTGTCTATACTGTAAGACCATTCTTGCACCAAATTTATCGAGCAATACCACTTTCATTACGTTTTACTTCTGTGATTTTTATAGGAATTTGAATGTATTTTCCACTGTTGGATGTGTCTCTACTCCATTCACCTTGCATGATGTATTTCAGCTCCTGCCCCACTGAAGCCATATGCACTGTGTGATATTTCCTTCTTCTAAGCAACACGATCTCTGATATATGTATGATTTTCCTGTGTGTACATGTGGCTTTACATTGCTTTGCTGTGGATGTTTTTTGGGGAGATGTTCTCAGCGAGTGTTGGTTCGGTGGGTATTCTGGTGTTGATTGTTTCTTTTGACCAACTTTTGTCTTAAATATGATTGACCTAATCTGCCTGTTTGTGCAATGTGGATGTTATCGTGTAGATTCGCTGAGAAAATAGAGCAGAACACAGCGCTTTGCTGTTCTTTCTCTAGACACTTAAAAGTAATCTTTCTGTCATTTTTCTTGTACTGGTATATTACTTCTGTTTGTGGTGAGGAGGAAAGGAATTTTTGTTTTGTTCTAAGGTTAGGTTGTATACTTTGGGACTTTGTACAATCGTGTTTATGTTTAATGCGACCATTTCAACAGAAATGAAAAGAAAAAGGGTTTTATTTGATTCAAGTTTATATAAATAAGCTCTATTGCCCTTGACTTTTCATCTTACTTGAGTGGACAGACTACTTGCTTGAAGTTGTCATTTCAGAGGAAAGTTGTTTCTCATTTGTCTAGTCGAAACCTGAAAGTTTATAAACTGTATACTTTTTGTGTCATAATTTGTTTTAGTTTAATGTAAAGGAGAATAAGCCTAGTCAATAGTGGTGCTTATTTCACCTAATGGCATGTGGAAATATAAGCCATAAGATGGAAGGGCTCCACACTCATTGCTTATTGTTTCCTTTCATCTTTTCTGTCTCAATACTCAATAGCATGAAAACCTGTGAAATTCTTAAAAGCATTAAGAGAAGGGTTTTTATTTTTTCAAACTGAATCGGATTAGAAATGTATCTGGGAACCCTTGATGTTTATTTTGAAACACATAAATGACAGCGTTGCGGCATCTAACAGGCTGCCATGCTGTATTTCCCATAGGGGCAGTGGCGATGATATATTGGAAGAACAATCCAGTCCAGAGTTTCTGTGAAGTCATGTGAGCGGTCGGTTGAATGGTATACATTGTTATAAAAATACAGCCGAAATTGTCCAAGATGGCCACCTATTGTCGTGGAGAAAAGTGATTGTCTTAGACAGGTGAATTTCTTGGACAGTGTTATTATAGCAGAGGGGGGAAAAAAACCAATGGAAGAAATGGGAAGTGGTCATTTAGATATAAGTAATTATCTTGGACAGGTGGCCCTTAGATTAGCTTCGACTGTACACCGATATAACTCTCACCCTTCTGATGGCATGGCATAGTTCAAAGACCTGTGATTTTTCCCAAAGCTCTACATCCGTAAAATGTCTCGTCATTCCATTTTGTCATTATCATTCCTTCCAGATCATTTTATCCTGAAGAAACCTAGGTTTAATAAATAAGACTTTGTTATTACCCACGCCTTGATGCAATGCTGCTGCTTCATTCATCATCTTATTGCCATTTCGTAGTTCTGACATCTACAAAAGTCTCAAATGATGTGTTTCTATCAATTTTTGATAAATATATGTATTGTACATCCCCCGGCTACTTGGACTGTAGGTGAATAGGTGAACAGATCATAACTCTTGTGTTGTGCTTCAGCTTTTTCCAGCGTCACATACTATGAAAGAGTCAAGAAAGGTATTCTCAAACTTGGCGGTCCATACATTTTGTACTTATCAGTTTAAGATTTAGTCTTTTCACAGCACAGTTGACCAATTATTGACCCATCTTGTTTTTTTGGTTTTTTTCTTTTCTTTTTTTTAAAGTCTCAACACATCAAATCGATCTAGATACATCATATCACATAGATGTAGAAGGATTATGCTCTGGTTTTGACCCCAAGGATTACTACGAGTATATTCTATTCCTACACCTCTACCCCTATCTCTACCCTTGACCATGTAATGTTACTATCTTTATAATTCCAGCAGCTCTACTCATGGGGCTGAAATCAGAGTTAGCCAGTCTTTTTTTTCTTTAGAATATCTATTAGACTATATTAAATCATAGTCCAGTGGTATACTGTTGTCGAGCATCGAGATAGTCTAACACCAAACTGACTAACGAAGATGCAAAATTCTGAAAGTGAAGTTAACTTTTCAATTCTAGAGATCAACTATCGTCGTGGTGAAAGGGTAGCCCAGATAAGATTTGGCCAGGGAGGGGGGGATTACTTATGTGAGCTAGATCTATGTATTCCAAACAACCACTCCCTAGTTTTAAAGTCTGTCTGTTGAGGGTGTTCTCTGTTGATCCCAACAGGAGAGACAAGGATTCCTTAGCCAGAAGATTGGCCCGCTCGTTTCCTCTGATGCTTACATGGCCAGGTAGCCGTGCAAACACAATATATATGCTCTCTCCCTGGTCAGCTAAGAGCATAGCAGAGACATGGGCCTTTTTACCTGTAGGAGAGACATAGACATGGCGTTGGTGATCTAGTGGTTAGACTGTAGAGCTTATAACTGAAAGGTTTTGAGTTCAAACCGTGTTGGGAGCCCAATGTTGTGTCTTTGAGAATGGCTCTTAACACAAATTTTCTCCACTTCACCTGGTGGGAATGGATACCCGGCAACAGACAGCGAGAGATCTTGTCAGCTTCTTAGTACTTAAGCGCATGTAATCTACAGCTTGTACTGTGTGCCTCTCGAGAAGCAGAGAATGTTTCTGAGTGTTCTGGGATCTATTGAAGTAATAATGGTTATAAAGCACATAGAGCATGCTGTTGATCGTGGATATGGGCTGTATTAATGCAATTATTATGATTATTATTAGGATTTATTTTTAAAATTATTATTATTATTATCATTATTGTTATGAATGGAAACATTCAAATCCTGACCTAGAAGTTCATGTTTGATTATTCTGAAAAGTTTACCCAACACTGTAGGACGATGATGGTGCATGCCCACCTCATTTATTTGTTAGGATCCATAACTTTAATTCCCCGCTTCTCCTCCAAAACCCTTTTTTTTTCTTTCTGTGGGCCTTGGAGACAATGAAATTAATGCCAGGCCAGGGAAATGATTGGCACCTGCTAAGTCGCTGCATGTACTTACATTTTTGTGCCCACCGTATTACCTTTACTTTCCCCTTTGAACCATAGTCCGTACTGGCTTATATTCAGGCCCGTGCTCCTAAGCTCCCTCGAACCAGCTGCTAGATTTGCGTCACCACATGTTTAGGTGTGTTTGTTTGGCAAGGTAATTAGTACCCATCTTTTGTCCACTGCTTTTCCTTCCAAAAAAAACATTTTGGTAGGTAGCTGACACTAAATAAAATAAAATTTGATAGCTGGATGCAAGACTCTGAGAAATGCCATTTTGCCATTTAGCGTCTGCTGATGTCTTGCACACCCAGCTATGGAAAAGTACTTCTGTTTGCTTGACTGGAGCCGTTTTTAATTTAATAATTATGTATTGTCAAGTTTGAGAATCACTGTTTCCGTCAGTTTATCATATTTTGTTCTGTGTTTTCCCTTCAAAGCCAACCTTTTTAGTATTATGACCAGCGCTACTTGTATATATTATATATACATGCATGTGTTGATGTGAAGTATTTCAATAATTTCATTAAAATGCAGAGAGCCAAATGCTTCTTCTGGGGCTTCATTTTTATTTTTTCTATGTATTACACATGATATTTTGCTAGTCGTGTGTTGCTTAATTAGTGAATTTGATCGCTGTGTGATGGACCGCCAGAAATTTACTACGGTACATTGAACATGCATGCTACATTATAAATTATAGATCCATTTGATATTTCGTGCTCTGCGAGTGCCCAAAACCTGCCGCTGTGAAGCAATTTGTTTCGAGTTTGATCAATCTGCAGCAGTTAGAATGTGAGTGGAGTGCCAGTGCCAGTACCAGTGCAAGGTTTTCCTGTCCTTACTTGAACTTGAATATTACATTTAATTTCCCACCCAAACCTTGCTTAGGAATCATGTTTTCCCACTTAGAAATGACTTACTAATTGTCTGGGCTAGTTAAGCTTTAGCCTTCATCCACAAGGAAAGACATATGAATGAAAATTACATTTTGGATTTTTCATCACTTTAGGCAAGGCGGGAAGTGCGTTCACTGTTTACTACCAAAGTTTTGCTAATTTTAATGCATGAACATTAAAATGTTGTGGTATGATCAGAGGGTTTTAAAGTACTACCATGTTCCTGAAAACTCTCTGGTATGATACTTGATGTGGGAATAAATGATTCTTCATCTGTCATTTGCTGAACTGCTTGATCATGTGTTTATGTCATGATAACCTTGCTATCTGATTGCTGAAATAATAATAATAATAATAGTAGTGATGAAAGTGCTAGCTTAAATTCGCCATCTGACGATATTAGATTATTTGAATCATTACATTACCTTATGCATGATAGACAGACTATTTCCTCGCATCACCATATAACATGTATTATGTTTTTGTGATCATCTATCACATGTGATGGATGGCTGTAGGTCGCCCCTGGTACTGGTAGGTCCTACTTCTTTTCTTTCACTCTGTTATTTTGTCTATTACGATTAGTCTGACTTATTTCCCGAA